CAAAGTCAGCCAGGTTACAGTAATCAGCTGCCCGGTGATCGGAGGATTCTTTCCAGTTCCCTATCTGTGATCAGTGATTCTGTTTCTTCTGACGCTCCCCCAGGCACTCCCCCCCCCCCTCCCAGCGCTGCAAGGGCCTTCCCCGCCAGGCCTCAGCCTCCCGGTGCAGAGGGGCGCTTTCTGCTTAAAGGAGCCACGCTCCTCTGCCTCCAGCCCTAGTTAGGAAGATTCATTACTCCGTGATGGAGCCCTCATTATTCGCAGGGTTCTCCTGGGGTAGCCACATTAATCGTATGGCTCGATCTGAGTAGTCCACATCCTCGCTGTCATTGCCATTATTAAAAATAAGTTGTGGATTTATTAAACAAGGCCCCTTCTCCCCCTCGCCCCCGAGACAAAGCTCACGGCGGCAATAAATCACGTGTCCCCAAGTAGCATACATTTTACATGTCGTCCTCACTGCCAAACAGCTGACTTACCATGGCAACCTCACATCCCACAATACACGCGCTTCCCCCATTGAAGGGCGAGTGAGCGTGGAGCCGATGAAAGGGGCACGTGGGGCCCGGCTGAGCCCCCGCTGCTCTCAGACACTTCCCACCGGAGACCCTCCATGGCCCGGCTTGGAAAATTCCCTACCGCATTCCCCGATTCAGAGCTGGTCCCTGTGCCTGGCCATCCTGGCAGGCCCACAGGCCTGAAAACCCATCAGTACCTTTGGCTCCGCCCCCGTAGCCAGGCTTCACCAAATGCTGCCAATTCTAGCTCCCCAACAGCTCTGGCTTCCAGCACCCCCCCCCCATGCCATGCCCACTGTCACCAGCTTAGTCAGGAAAGAGCTATAAATAAATGGAAGACCTGGGCTCAAGTCTTCTCACTCCCAGTGACTAGCTATGGGGCATTGGGCAAGTCGGGACATGCTTTGTGCCTCAGTTTCCTCATCTGTAAAATGGGGATAATAATACCTGTAGCAGCTGCCTCTGAGGGATACTTCAAGATTGAATTGAGTGCACTAGGTCAATAATCACTTATCAAATGCTTACTACATGCCAGGCACTGTGCTAAGCAATGGGGGTACGAAGACAGGCAAAAACATGGCCCCTTCCCTCGAGGAGCTCCCATTCTAATGGCAGAGACAACATGTGAACAACTGGACCTACAAGACACAGAGTAGAGGGAAGACCACCTAAAGCGCATGGTGAACCTTAGATTTTAGTTGGGTCTGACTTTGTGTGACCCATTTGGGGTTTTCTAGATACTAGACTGGTTGGCCATTTCCTTCTCCAGCTCACTTTACAGATGAGGAAACTGAGGCAAGAAGGGTGAGGTGACTTACGTAGGGTCACACAGCCCCTATCATAACTGTCTCTTACTGCCTAGAACATGGTAGGACCTCAATAAAGGCTAAATGCTTGTCATAACAGGAAAACAGGTAAAACTGAAAGCTTAGAAATGATAACTGGTTCTTTGCAGAGGCGAGGGACTATGGGTATGGAACACTGTATACAACATCAGCCTTTTTGAATGTATAGGTTATACTGAACTTTTTTTCCTTCATTTTTCTTCTTTATTATAAGGGATAGTTCTTTGGGAAGGGGAGGGGAATATATTGGGAAATGAAGGTGAAGTATAAGCTATATCAATAAAATAAATGGGCAGTTGAACTGAACTGAATGCCAGTTATGATTATTACCTAACACCAGGATTACTGCAACAGACTTCTTGTGAGTCTAGGCAGCTAAGCTGTACAGGACAGAACAATGGGTTTGGAGTCAGCATGGCCTGAGTTCAAATCTGGCCTCAGATACTTACTAGTGGTGTCCGCTGCCTACCTCAGTTTCCTCATCTGTAAAATGGGGATAATAAAAGCACCATCCTCCTAGGGTTGTTGTGAGGATCAAATGAAATGATATTTGCAAAGTGTTTAGCATGGGGCCTGGCACATAGTAGGTACTTCATAAATACTTGTTTCCTTGCCCCAATTCATTCGGTCCACATCTCCAGACAAACCTTCTTAAAATGTCACTCTAACTGTGTAACTCCCTTGCTTGAAGCTCTTATGAGGTCATTTATGGTGAAGGATAAAGACGCTCAGACTGCCATGATTAGATGTCAAACTCTAGACCAGCTACACTGGGTTGGGCGCTCATGCCTTAGGAAGGTCTCCTGCTCTCCCCCCAATGGGGCTTGACCTGGGTTGCCCTCCTGCCATGCCCTTGGCCTGCTGACATGATGTTTACCCTACAAGCCCAGCTCAAACTCCAGCCCTTCCCTCACCTCAAGCACCTTCTGGGACTTGCAGAACACCTTGTTTGTGACTCCCCTAAACTGATGGCAGAGATCTGGTTAACAGAATGGAAGATCCTTGTGTCCCTGGTGTCTAGCACAGTGCCTGGGAAGGAGGGAGTTCTTAATCCTTGTTGATTGGCTAGTATTGGCAATGTGATTCTTCCCCTATTGCCACATACTCAAAAACTATCAGGGTTTCCTATTTCCCTCTGACTAAAGTTCACACTCCTTGTCTTGACATTCAAGGCCCACCATAGTCTGGCATCCCTCTGTATTTCCAGTCTTATCTATTACTCCCCTTCATACAGTCTATATTTCAGTCAAATTGGACCAATCTCTAACTCCTTAAAAATATCCCTGAGATCTCCCGGACTCTACATTTGATGAATTCCTCCTCATATGTTAAAGCCTAACTCAAAAGTCCCTTCCTTCGGGAAGCCTCCCCTGATTCCCCGATCAGTAGCAACCATTGAGACCTGGAATCTCCCAGAGCTCATTGCTTCCCCCTCCCTGTCAAATGCACTTCTCAGGCTGTATTGTGTTTAGAGCCATTTTTTTTTTTACAGGTATTTGGAGGGGTTTGCGGGAAAGCTCAAGCAAGTCACTGCTTTTACTCTGCCATCTTCTCAGGCTGTGTTATGGAGTAGAATTCCTATGTTTATATCCTAGAATTCCCTAAGAGCAAGTGTGTCTTATTGGAAAGCTGATATTTCCTAGGATGACAACGGTGCTCTGTACATAGTAGGTGCTTAATAAATGGTTATTAGACTGAATATATAGAATAGAATGCCATTTTCTATTATAGCCGTTTGTGTATCATTTCTTCTGATAGACTGTAAGTTCTCTGAGGACAAGCACCAAGTCTCCTTTATCTTTGTATCTTCCCAAAGTGTTGGTTGAATTTAATTTTCTTTTCTTTTTTTTTTTGAGTAGCACATTAGCTAGGTTATTGTAAAACAAACAGGCATCCATCCAAGTTGTGTTTATATAGAAATGCAGTCACCTGTGCAGCATAAGGGATACAAGGTGACTGCACTCTTATAAAATGATGGAGCATAATGTAGTCCAATGAACACCAATGAGGAGTCTGGAGACCAGGGTTCTAGTCCTGGCATTGCCACTGACTTTACTGGGTGACCTGAAGGAAGTCACTGCCCTCCTCTGGGTCTGAAACTCCTTAAATGGAATATGAAGGAGTGGGACAAGATACTCCTTGATTGCCAAATTATGAAATTCTAGGATATGTAACACACCCCGCATGAACAAGCCTCTTAATGACCAAGGCAATGTTAAGAGACATTGCTTCCACTATTTATGGCTCCACCTTAACACATCTGTGACCTTCACTATCCTGGCCAGTCACAGCCAACACTTGGCCCCATCCACTTGGAAGCCCAGGCAAACCTCAAGTATATGGAGCTCTACGTTTCACGTCCCAGTAGGTTATGTTCTAAGGCCCCTCTCAGTTCTAACATTCCCTGTTCTAAGGCCCCTCCCAGCCCTGCCATTCCCTGTTTTAAGGCCCCTCCCAGTTCTGACATTCTACGATCATATGAAGGGAAGTTTCCAGCTGTTGAGAATATAACTTTTGCTTCCTCCCTTCCCTTCTCCCACCACCCCCCATCTCAGAGTTCCATGTTTGAGTAAGACTGACTTTGAGGGTGATCTATAACAAACTCTTTCTTTGTCAGTGAATTACAGTCAATTTTTAGAAATCCCTACACCCTCTTCAATAGAGCCAGTATGGTTACATTTTCTTCAGTCTCCCCACCATGACAGTAGTTCCCTTCCTAAATAAACATTTCCTTATCTCTAAAACTAAGGTGCATTCCCTGTTGATTCAAGGCAGCAGGTCTAGTCATCATTTCACCCACCTGGGCCGCAGTTTCCCCAGCTGTAAAATGAAAGGATGGACTTGATGACCCCTATGGGCTCCTTCAAGCTTTAGGCATTATTATCTCCATATGAGAGATGAGGAAACAGGGAAAGGAAGTGATTTCACAGACTCTTGGGGTTGGAAGGGACTTCAGAGGCCATATCTAGTCCAATGAAGACCTGACAAAGACACCTCTCCCCATCCCAACATCTGGAAGAAGGGCTTTCTGGTGGAAGGTGCTTTGAATGAGAAATTAGAGGAACTGGGTTTGAATCCCACCTTTGTCACGAATTCTCTGTGTGACCCTGGGCAAGTTACCAAACCCCTGGGTCTTGATTTCCTTCTCTGTGAAAGGAAGGGGTTGAATCTGGAGGTCCCTTCCAGCCCTGGACCTGTGATGCTACAATCCCCATCATGTGGCCACCTTGCCTTCCCACTTTGCCCCTTGTGGTCCTGTGGGAAGAGCTTGGAGTTTTGATGGCAGGACATGCCCATGGGCATATGGCAGTGGAGGCGGGCTAAGTTTGGCACTCTGGACACAACACTGGCACCTCTCCACAGGCACCTAGAGGCCAAAGCCTCCCTGGACTTCTTGCTCACCCAGCTTGAGGAGCTGCAATGAACTCCACTCAGGAGAGTAGAACACATTTATCACGGACAGGATTCTGGGGGCTGGGAGGGTGTGTGTGGGGAATGGACCGGCAGTCTCACTGGAATGGAGCAGGTGGGAAAGGCATAGCATGGATAACCTGGAAAGGTAGGCTGCACGAGGGTGGCACACAAGAAGGCCGGGGCGGTGGGGCTGCACGGGGCCGGGCAGGGTTCCTCTACTTACATTTGCACGTGTGGGGGCTGGAAGCGTCCCTGGTTAATGTTGTAGAAGGTGAAAGCCTGTGTGGGGTTCGAGCTGTACTCGTCCACCTCGATGATGAGGCGGCTGTGCTGGTGCCTTCGAGCTGCCATGATGTGGGACTGGGAGAATGCCATACTTGGCCAGCGAGGGGAGAGGGCTTCGGCCGCCTTCAGGCCGTCATCCCGCCTCCGGTCACTCCACATGGACAGGCAGGGCCCAGGCCATCCCCCGCGGGTGGCGGTGACAGTGTCCCCAGAGCCGGCCTCTTCTCAGAGCCTACAGAGGAACAGATTGGAGACGTGAAGGGGAGCAGGACCTGGCGAACGGTCATCCACATGGTCTTGCATTATATAATGCCAGAGAAAGATTTGGGAAGCAAAAGAGGAAGGGGGGAAAACACACACTCACTCACACATACACTCACACACACACACACACACACACACACACACACACACACACACACACACTCACGCATACACACAGCCAGCCTGCCTCTCTGCTCAAAGAACTCATTACAAATCTTTCCAACTCAGCAGTTTGATGAATTTACTTTAGTAAAGAGAGAAAGGGAGGGGGAGGGAACACCCCTATGAAGGAGCGCCTGACTTGACGTGTTTAAATACTTAAGGCATGGCTTAAAAAAAAATATAACCTTCGAAAAGCACAGGCTTAAGGGAAGATGGGCAAAGGCCAGGACTGATGTCAGATCGACCAGATGCAGCTGTGACCGTTTGGCTTTTCTTTCCAGAAATGCAAGTCGGGCCGTGGATGCCCCTGACCCGCCCCCCCCCCCCCGCACCACGTGCACGCACACACAAACACAGTGTGTGTCTGAGCAGGAATCAGGAGAATGAAGTCTGAAAGTCCTTCAGCAGCATCAATTCCGACTGAAGACAGGGGTTTTAGGAGCAGAGGCATCTGGAAAAGGGATTTCCCATTGAGCTGTGCTACCAGAACACTCCCCCCAGAGACAGCAGGGAAAGAAAATGACCTGGGAGTGGGGGAGGGGATGAAGCAGGAAACCCATTCCTGGAATATTTTACTTTAGAATCATAGAGGGTTAGAGCTTTGGGACCACAGAACAGGGAATGTCAGGTGGGGGAGGGGACTGAGAATAGGGAAAGTCAGAGCTGGGAGGCGCCTTAGAACAGGGAATGTCAGAGCTGGAAGAGGTCTTAGAACAGGGAAGGTCAGAGCTAGGAGGCGCCTTAGAACAGGGAATGTCAGAGCTGGGAGGGGCCTTACAACAGGGAAGGTCAGAGCTGGGAGGGAGCTTAGAACAGGGAATGTCAGAGCTGGGAGGGGCCTTACAACAGGGAAGGTCAGAGCTGGGAGGGGCCTGAGAACAGAGAATTTCAGAGCTAAGAGGAACCTAGAACATAGGATATAGAATGCCAGAGATGGAAGAGAATTTGGAACATAGAACATTAGATGTCAGGGCTGGGAAGGATCCTTAGATATGAGATGTCAGAGTCGGGTGGGGCCTTCAAGATCACATAGACTGACCTCTTTCTCTTACAGATGAAGAGTCTAGGTGTATAGAGAGGAAATTACTTGATCAAGGAAGCTCACCTCCATATTAAGCGCCATCTTTTTTTTTTTTAAATTTCCCACCTTTGTGTCTCCAGTTTCTAGTTCAATGTATCACATAGAGAAGGTTTCTGAATGGATGAACAAATGAACATCTTAAAATAATTTTCAAGACACTCATTTCTTAATTCCTGTCTCCCATACTATGTCTTAAAAGCATGTTTAGAGTGAGAGAATTAGAAAAATATTTTAAAGTTCTCTTTGGAATGGAAATCTTCTGTTGAGACTTCCCAAGGTAATTTTTTTTTTTAATTTCAAAGTGACATTTTCTCAAATCCATCATATTTTTCTTAAAAAGTCCTAGAAATCCTGGAGCTAAGTCCCTGAAACTCCTCCCTTTTACCAGTATCCTTTTTTACCGCCAATACACACCCACACCCACTTAGAACCAGTGAATGTGACCAGGTCTGCCCTCTTCCTCTCATAGCAGCTTCCAAGAGCAGAAGCCAGACCTGCCTTCCAAAGGGGCAGCTTTTTTGTCATTAAGGTCCCATCACCAAGTTCATTTTCTCCCCATTTAATCAAGGAGAAAAGAAGAGAATTGAAGCAATTCTTGGACAGCCATGTTTCAGGCTTTCAGAAGGGGGGGGGAATTCCTTTTGCACTTGGAAGAAAAATCGACAGCGACAGAAAACAAATTAGATTAGGAAAATGGGGAGAATTAGAGGCTGCAGAACATTTTAATTATGACTGGAGGAGAACTGGATTATTAATGTATTTCATGGTGGGGTTTTTTTCCTCCTTTAAAATCTTTCTTAAAAAATGTAGCCGCTGCCCACGTGGAAACAGTGCCTTGGGACTGATGACGGCCCGTCTCTGTTTCTGAGGACTCTCATTCTCTGTCCCTTTGTCCTCAGAATCACTTTGAATGAAAGTCTGGGGATGCCACACATGCCAGCAGGATAGACTCCCTCACTTTTGGATGAGTCATGGTTGTAGACAGTTTGCCCAATAGGCCTCAGCTCATTCCTTCTCTCCAGAAAAACGAGGTCCACCCCAAAGGGTTCTGGGAAAAGGACAGCCTGAGAGGGACAGAGGAGTGGTAGGCTTCCCTCCATGGAGTCTTCAAGCAGAAGCTGGGAGACCACTTATCCCAATCAACCATTTCCCTTCTAATTTTAGCTGCATTAGTTTTGATCATGCAAAGATTTTAAAATTTAATGTAATCAAAAGAATATATTTATTTCCTGTGATCCTCACCCTTGGGTTGAATCTTGAACCTTGTTTAATCTTGAGTTCCTCCCCTATCCATAGGCACAAAGTGTCTTTCAGAAGACTACTTGTAGGGGAAGAACTAAAGGGGATTCCTTTTGTGAAGGGCCACTGAGGCCTCTTCCAGTGTTCCAACTCTGTGATTCTGGGAGAGCTGGTGCAGAGAAGGCCCCCCAAAGCGTCTGTCGAATGACTGAATGAAAGCTTCTTGAAGACAGAAGCATGTTTCTGCTTTTCTTTGTATCCCTGGCGCTTGGCATTGCTGTTGTCGTTCAGTTGTTCTAGTCATGATCGACTCGTCATGACCACGTTTGGGGTTTTCTTGGGGTTTGCTATTTCCTTCTCCAGCTCATTTCACAGATGAGGAAACTGAGGCAAACAGGGTTAAGTGACTTGCCCAGGGTCACACAGCTAGGAAGTGTCTAAGGCTGGATTTGAACTCAGGTCTCCCTGACTTTGCCCCATCTAGTTACATATAGTAGGTGCCTAATTAATATTTGTTGGACTAACTGGATCAGGCAGAGGGAAGGAGTCATAGCTCTAGAAGTGGAAGGGACGTTGGATCTCATCTATTCCAAACCCTTCCTTTCCAGATGAGGAAACTGAGGCACAAGGGGGTGTATAGGCAGTGTGACAGCTGCAGGACTTCTAACGAGGCTCCTTCTGATTCCTCCTCCAGCCCCCTTCCACTAAGGTTTACTAATCTCAAGTGGCCACACAAGCATGGCTTTAGCTGTCCTCACACTGGCCCTTAAGTGTTATATTACAAGTGGGATGTAGAATAGCAAGTGTTATTACCCCCATTTTAAACGGGAGCAAACAGGGGCTCAGAAAGCAGAGAGGATGTAATAAACATGAAAAATGTAATCCTTCAGAGGACTGTAGATTTGGAAAATCTTAGGACTGGACACAGAGAGCTAGAAGGGACGATTGAGGCCACCCCCTTCACTTTATAGATGAGAAAACAGAGGCTGAGAGGCAGGAAGGGACTTTCCCAAGATCACAAAGGGAGGAATTAGCAGAGGAGGGATTTGAACCCAGGTCCTTAGACTCGAGTTCTAGGTACTCTGCCACTACTCAACTCAGAGAAAGCTTGACTGAGACAAAGTGATGACAGAGAGAAGAGAAATCTCCCACTGCTCTTTAAATGTGACCCGGGCGAGGTTGGCTGTTACTATCTGTGGCCGATTGATTTATCTAACTTTCCAAAATAGGGGAAAAAAGAGTAACATATGGGCAGAAGTGGGACCTGAACCAAGAAGGCAGCAGGGATGGCAAGCTGGGTGTGCCATCAGAGGCAGCATCACTGACAGCCTGGAAGTTTCAAAAGACTGGGGGACTCACAAAAGCCCAGAGCCAGTTCTCCAGCTCCCCCTTTTTAGGCAGGCAGGTTAGCTAAGCTCCCACAGAGGCTGGGGAATAACTCTCAGCAGAGGTTTTCAAGAATCAGGCTTGACGAGCCCCATAATTAAGGGGGGAAATGGTACCAGCCCCACAAGTTTTTTTTTAATTTATTTTTTATGAATCAACCAGCCCTGGCTGTCCCTGGGAGGTGCACAGGGAAGAAAAGAAAGGAAATCAGAGGGAACCATGTGCCGCTCTTCCTCCATGATGTTTGCTGTGACAATTATAGATTGGGGGTTGTTTGCATGACTACCACTCACAGAATCATCAAATTAAGGAATCTCAGAATTATGGGGTCACAGAATCTTGGAACCATAGAACGACACAACCTTAGAATCTCAGAATTATAGCCTCATCTGGTCTTGGAGCCATGAAATGTTAGAACCTTAGAATTATAGAACCTCAGAATTGTAGAATCACAGGATTTGGCACCACAAACCATAGAATATGTCAATGAACATTTATTAAGCACCTACTATGTGCCAGGCACTGTGCTAAGCACTAGGGATACAAAAAGAGGCGAAACATGGTCCCTGCCATCAGGGAGCTCACAATCTAATGGGGGACACAACATGCAAACAAATATATACCTATTCAAGAGATGAATAGGAGATAATTCACAGAGGGAAGGCACTGGAATTGAGAGGGGGTAGGGAAGACTTCCTGCAGAAGGGGGGGACTTTAGTTGGGATTAAAGGAAGCCCAGAAGGTCAGGGGGCAGAGCAGGAGGAGGGCAAGCACTCTGGGCATTGGGGTTTGCCAGAGAGAATGCCCAGAGCCCAGGGGCTTGAACACGGAACATCCTGGAGGCCAAAGCCACAGGATCAAAGAGGACGTGTTGGGAGAGTAAGATGTAAGAAAACTGGAAAGGGAGGAGGGGACTGGTTATGAAGGGCTTTGAATGCCAAACAGAGCATTTTGTATTTGCCCTTGGAGATGATAGGAAGACACTGGAGTTTATTGAATGAGGGGAAGGGGGTGACATGGTCAGACCTGTACTTTAGGAAGGTCATTGAGTTGAATCCCCTCATTTGACAGATGGGGAAACTGAGGCTCAGAAAAGTTAA